CCTCCGGCCCCGCGGGGCGGCCGCGCCGGTCGTCCCCGTCCCCCTCGGGCTGCTGCGTGGCCGCTCTCTTCCTCAGCTGCTGCAGCGCCGAGTGGGAGTAGGCTTTGGACGGGGAGAACGCGGCAAACCCCAAGCTTTGGTGGGAATACGGCGCCGCCTTCCTGGCGTGGTGGAAGCCCTGCGGCGGCTCCTTCTTGGCGGCCCCGTCGCCCTTGTCCGGCCTGGGGGGGCCCAAGCCGAAGGCGGGGTCGTAGAGGGAGGGACCCTCCCGGCACGGGGGCGGGAAGAGCCGCTCCGAGAAGCCCTTGTCGCCCTTGCCCAGCAGCTCGGCGTCGGCGAAGCGGGCGGGCCGGCCGGGGCTGTAGGAGTCGCGGCTGGTGCCGGGCTGGTTGGGATCGTCCTCGAAGGTCTCGGGCTGCCAGGAGAAGTGGGAGTGGGCGTATCTCAGGTGCTCCTTGAGGATGTGCTCGTTGGGCGCCGGGAAGCCGCAGAGGACGCAGGCGCTCGGCGCTTTGCCGGCCGGCGCCGCCGGCAGCTCGTCGGCTTGGAAGGGTTTGTAGAGGCCGCGCCCGGCGCCGTCGCGGAGCTCTCCGAAGAGGCCGGAGCTCCTGGAGGCGTGCTCCTTCCTCTCCTTGACGTGCATCTTGGCGTGCTGCACGAAGATCTTGGAGGAGTTGGTGCCGAAAACGCACTTGGGGCACTGCAGCCGCGCCTCGCGCCCCTCGTCCGGGAACTCGTTCAGCTTCTGGATCTCCTCGATGATCTTCTCCCGCGACTCCTGGTGGAGCCTCTTGTGCCGCTCCAGCGCCGCCGGCTCGGCGAAGGCCCAGCCGCACTCGCCGCAGCGGAAGCGGCAGCGGCCGGCGGGCGCGTCGGCGCCGCGCTCGGCGCCGCGGCTGTGCTGCAGCATGTGCTCCAGCAGGTGCTCCTTGCGGCGGAAGTAGATGCTGCACTCGATGCAGGTGAACACGCTGGGGCTGTCCTCCCGCTCCGGCTCCTCGTCCTTGCGCGGCTCCTCCAGCAGCACCCCGCACGCGTACGGCCGCACCTCCGCCGGCTCCGGCAGCAGCCGCTCCACCGAGTCCTCGGCGTTCACCGTCCACGACTGCTTGCCCACCACGTCCAGCTCGGGCAGCGTCCACTCGGCCGCGGAGCCCGGCTCGGCCGGCTGCGGCTCGGCCGCCGGCGCTTTCCGCCGGCAGCCCTCCGAGGCTTTGGCTTTGGCTCTGCGCGAGGCCGGGCCGCGCGAGGCCGCCGCGTCCGGCGCCGGCTCCTGGAAGGACGGGCTGGGGCTCCTGGAGATCCAGCCCGACCTCTGGACGCCCCCGCGGCCCCGCTGGGCGCCGAGCCCTTCGGCGTGCTTTGGTTCGTCGCGGGGCCGCTCCTCCTCGGGGGACGGCGGCTCCGGCGAGCCCCCGGGGCCGGGCCGTCGCTCTAAAGTGCTTTGGTCCGCGCCGTCGGCCGGCCGCGCGCCCCAGGGAAATCCACCCCTTCCCACTCTGCCATGGCTGGAAGAGCCTTGGGAATACCCTCGGGAACTCCAGGTGCTCCTCGGGCACCGGCCTGCAAGGGAATTCCGGGGTGAAAAACGGCGTTTTGGGGAGCACCGAGGTTCGCTGGGTCCGAGGATTTGTGGGGGGTTCCCAAAAATGTGGGAGGGGAACAAATCCACCCCTTCCCACTCTGCCATGGCTGGAAGAGCCTTGGGAATACCCTCGGGAACTCCAGGTGCTCCTCGGGCACCGGCCTGCAAGGGAATTCCGGGGTGAAAAACGGCGTTTTGGGGAGCACCGAGGTTCGCTGGGTCCGAGGATTTGTGGGGGGTTCCCAAAAATGTGGGAGGGGAACAAATCCACCCCTTCCCACTCTGCCATGGCTGGAAGAGCCTTGGGAATACCCTCGGGAACTCCAGGTGCTCCTCGGGCACCGGCCTGCAAGGGAATTCCGGGGTGAAAAACGGCGTTTTGGGGAGCACCGAGGTTCGCTGGGTCCGAGGATTTGTGGGGGGTTCCCAAAAGTTTCGGCTGGATGCAAAACCAGCCCTTCCCACCCTGCCATGGCTGGAAGAACCTTGGGAACTCCAGGGGCTCCTCATTCGTGGGGCTGGAAGGGAATTCTGGGGTGAAAAACGGCGTTTTGGGGAGCACTGAGGTTCGCTGGGAGTGGGGTTGAAGGATTTGTGGGGGATTCCCAAAAATCTGGGAGGGGAACAAATCCTACTCTGCCATGGCTGGAAGACCCTTGGGAATACCCTTGGGAATTCCAGGTGCTCATTTGTGGGGCTGGAAGGGAATTCTGGGGTGAAAAATAGGATTTTGGGGAGCACCGAGGTTTCCCAGAAGAGGAAGGACCCTGGCGGGATTCAAGGATTTTGTGGTGATTCCCGAAAATCAAAAATTTGGGATGGACACAAATCCCACCCTGCCATGTCTGGAGGAGCCCTCGGGAACTCCAGATGCTCCTCATTCCTGGGGCTGGAAGGGAATTCTGGGGTGAAAAACGGCGTTTTGGGGAGCACTGAGGTTCGCTGGGAGTGGGGTTGAAGGATTTGTGGGGGATTCCCAAAAATCTGGGAGGGGAACAAATCCTACTCTGCCATGGCTGTAAGAACCTTGGGAATACCCTTGGGAATTCCAGGTGCTCCTCATTCGTGGGGCTGGAAGAGAATTCTGGGGTGAAAAATGGGATTTTGGGAAAACACAACCAGGATATCCCCAGGGGGAGCTGGGATGGATCCAGGGGGAACTGGAATGGCCTGGGGGGAACTGGGATGGATCCAGGGTGAACTGGAATGGATCCAGAGGGAACTGGGGTCACTCCAGGGTGAACTGGGATGGATCCAGGGGAACTGGGATGGATCCAGAGGGAACTGGGATGGATCCAGGGTGAACTGGAATGGATCCAGAGGGAACTGGGGTCACTCCAGGGTGAACTGGGATGGATCCAGGGGAACTGGGATGGATCCAGAGGGAACTGGGGTCACTCCAGGGTGAACTGGGATGGATCCAGGGGGAACTGGGATGGATCCAGAGGGAACTGGGGTCACTCCAGGGTGAACTGGGATGGATCCAGGGGAACTGGGATGGATCCAGAGGGAACTGGGGTCACTCCAGGGTGAACTGGGATGGATCCAGGGGAACTGGGATGGATCCAGGGTGAACTGGGATGGATCCAGGGTGAACTGGGATGGATCCAGAGGGAACTGGGGTCACTCCAGGGTGAACTGGGATGGATCCAGGGTGAGCTGGGATGGATCCAGAGGGAACTGGGGTCACTCCAGGGGGAACTGGGATGGATCCAGGGGAACTGGGATGGATCCAGAGGGAACTGGGGTCACTCCAGGGTGAACTGGGATGGATCCAGGGTGAACTGGGATGGATCCAGGGGAACTGGGATGGATCCAGAGGGAACTGGGGTCACTCCAGGGTGAACTGGGATGGATCCAGGGTGAGCTGGGATGGATCCAGGGTGAACTGGAATGACTCCAGGGGAACTGGCATGGCCTGAGGTGAACTGGGGTCACTCCAGGGTGAACTGGGATGACTCCGGGGGAACTGGGATGACTCCAGGGGGGACTGGGATGGATCCAGGGTGAACTGGGATCTCTGCAGGGTGAACTGGGAGAGCTTGGGAGCCCCTGGCCGCTCCCCTGGCCTGAGGTGAACTGGGGTCACTCCAGGGTGAACTGGGATGGATCCAGGGTGAACTGGGATGGATCCAGGGTGAACTGGGGTCACTCCAGGGTGAACTGGGACAGCCTGGGAGCCCCTGGCCGCTCCCGGCTGCTCCGTCCCTCAGAACTCACCCGAGCGGTGTCCGGTGAGCCGCGGCCGGGACGGCTCCGGAGAGGGCGGGGTCGGGCTCATCTGGAAAACACGGAGAACAGCGGGGTCAGCACGGCCAGGACCGGGTCAGCACGGCCAGGACCGGGTCAGCACGGCCAGGACCGGGTCAGCACGGCCAGGACCGGGTCAGCAGGGCCAGGACCGGGTCAGCACGGCCAGGACCGGGTCAGCACGGCCAGGATCGGGTCAGCACGGCCAGGACCGGGTCAGCACGGCCAGGACCGGGTCAGCACGGCCAGGACCGGGTCAGCACGGCCAGGACCGGGTCAGCACGGCCAGGACCGGGTCAGCAGGGCCAGGACCGGGTCAGCACGGCCAGGATCGGGTCAGCACGGCCAGGACCGGGTCAGCACGGCCAGGATCGGGTCAGCACGGCCAGGACCGGGTCAGCACGGCCAGGACCGGGTCAGCACGGCCAGGACCGGGTCAGCACGGCCAGGACCGGGTCAGCACGGCCAGGACCGGGTCAGCAGGGCCAGGACCGGGTCAGCACGGCCAGGACCGGGTCAGCAGGGCCAGGACCGGCTCAGCACGGCCAGGACAACAGCGGGGCGCGCAGGGCCAGGCCAGGGTGAACTGGGATGGATCCAGAGGGAAATGGGGTCACTCCAGGGTGAACTGGGATGGATCCAGGGGAACTGGGATGGATCCAGGGGGAACTGGGATGGATCCAGGGGGAGCTGGGATGGATCCAGGGGGAACTGGGATGGCCTGGGGGGAACTGGGATGGATCCAGGGTGAACTGGGGTCACTCCAGGGTGAACTGGAATGGCTCCAGGGGGAACTGGGATGGATCCAGGGTGAACTGGGGTCACTCCAGGGTGAACTGGGATCATGCCAGGGTGAACTGGGATGGCCTGGGCGGGACTGGGATGGCCTGAGGTGAACTGGGATTGATCCAAGGTGAACTGGGATGGCTCCAGGGTGAACTGGGATGGCCTGGGGGGAGCTGGGATGGCTCCAGGGTGAACTGGGGTCACTCCAGGGTGAACTGGGACAGCCTGGGAGCCCCTGGCCGCTCCCGGCTGCTCCGTCCCTCAGAACTCACCCGAGCGGTGTCCGGTGAGCCGCGGCCGGGACGGCTCCGGAGAGGGCGGGGTCGGGCTCATCTGGAAAACACGGAGAACAGCGGGGTCAGCACGGCCAGGACCGGGTCAGCACGGCCAGGACCGGGTCAGCACGCCTTTCCCGGCAAACCGCAGCCCCGGGGCGGCCGGGAGCGCTCCCAGAGCTTGTCCCGGCACAGCCGAGCCGGATTAGTGCCGGATTTCCCAGCCTGGCCGGGGAGGGCTCAGTGCCGGGAGCAGCATCCGACGGATATTGGGATAATCGCCGCTAAGCACTTTAACTGCCGGGAAAGCTGCCGGGAGATCCCGTTATCCCGGCTCCGGGGAGAGCTCCGGCACAGAGCCACGTTCCCAAAATCCCTGCTCCACGTTCCCAATTCCCTGCTCCACATTCCCGAAATCTCTGGTCTAGGATCCCGTTCTCCTCGCCCTGGGGAGAGCTCCGGCACGGAGCCACGTTCCCAAAATCCCTGCTCCACGTTCCCAAATCCCTGCTCCACATTCCCAAAATCTCTGGTCTAGGATCCCGTTCTCCTCGCCCTGGGGAGAGCTCCGGCATGGAGCCATATCCCCAAAATCCCTGCTCCCATTCCCAAAATCCCTGCTCCCATTCCCAAAATCCCTGCTCCCATTCCCAAAATCCCCATTCAACATTCCGAAAATCCCTGTTCCAGGATCCCGTTATCCCAGCTCTGGGGAGAGGAGGCTGGGATGGAGTCACAAAAAATGGAGAACAACCCCAACATTCCCAAAATTCCGGAGTTTAACCCCAACTTCCCAAAATTATTTAACCCAACACAACCCAACCCAACTCAATGAAAACGAACCCAAACCAACTCAACCAAACTCAACTCAACCCAACCCAACCAAACCCAACTCAATCAAACCAAACCCAACCAAACCCAACTCAACAAAATTCATCCCAACTCAACAAAATTCAAACCCAACCCCGGAGTTTAACCCCAACATTCCCAAAATGGTTTAACCCAACCTAACCCAACCCAACTCAATGAAAACGAACCCAAACTCAACTCAACCCAACCCAACAAAATCCAGCTCCACCAAACCCAACCCAACTCCACCAAACTCAACTCAACCCAAACCAAACCAAACCAAATCCAACTCAACAAAATTCATCCCAACTCAACCCAACCCAACCCAAACCCAACTCAATGAAAACAAACCCAAACCAACTCAACCAAACTCAACTCAACCCAACCCAACCAAACCCAACTCAATCAAACCAAACCCAACCAAACCCAACTCAACAAAATTCATCCCAACTCAACAAAATTCATCCCAACTCAACAAAATTCAAACCCAACTCAACGCAACGAAACCCAAGTCAATACAACCCAACCCAACTCAAGCCAACCCAACTCAACCAAACCAAACCCAACTCAATACAACCAAACCCAACCAAACCCAACCCAACCCCAGGGATTCCTGCCACGGACAGCGCAGATTCGGGGTCGTTACCAGCACCATGAGGAATTCCACCAAGGAAATTTTCATCCATGGAAAAATTAAGGTTGGTGAAGAAGAATCCCGGAATGGTTACGGTTGGAACATCCCAACTCAACAAAATTCATCCCAACTCAACAAAATTCAAACCCAACTCAACGCAACGAAACCCAAGTCAATACAACCCAACCCAACTCAACCCAACCCAACTCAACCAAACCAAACCCAACTCAACCAAATTCATCCCAACCCAACTCAATTCAAACCCAACTCAACCCAACCAAACTCAACTCAAACCAATCCAACTAAACCCAACCCAACCCAACCCAACCCAACCCAACCCCAGGGATTCCTGCCACAGGGATTCCTGCCAACTCAATCAAACCAAACCCAACCAAACCCAACTCAACCAAACCCAACCCATCCAAACCCAACCAAACCAAATCCAACTCAACCAAATTCATCCCAACTCAACCCAACCCAACCCAAACCCAACTCAATGAAAACAAACCCAAACCAACTCAACCAAACTCAACTCAACCCAACCCAACCAAACCCAACTCAATCAAACCAAACCCAACCAAACCCAACTCAACAAAATTCATCCCAACTCAACAAAATTCAAACCCAACTCAACGCAACGAAACCCAAGTCAATACAACCCAACCCAACTCAAGCCAACCCAACTCAACCAAACCAAACCCAACTCAATACAACCAAACCCAACCAAACCCAACCCAACCCCAGGGATTCCTGCCACGGACAGCGCAGATTCGGGGTCGTTACCAGCACCATGAGGAATTCCACCAAGGAAATTTTCATCCATGGAAAAATTAAGGTTGGTGAAGAAGAATCCCGGAATGGTTACGGTTGGAAGAGACCTCCAAGACCAAGCCCAACCCTCACCCGGTCACCCAGGACCACAAGATGCCCAAAATTGGGAGTTTCCAGTCCCCAGTGCCACTGGAGCCGTTTGGCTCCCCAGAATCCCCCTGGAAACATGGGGGAGTGGGAATTCCATTCCCCACATCCCAGCCCGGCCCCAAATCCATCCAACGGCCCCAAATTTGGTTCTTCCAGCTCCAAGGAGCACCCAGGGCGGGTCCAACCCAACCGTTGGGCAGGCAAAGGCGCCCCGGGTTGGTGACCCCAACGTTCCCAGGGAACAAGCGCGACGGAAGGAGAAAAACACGAAAAATCCGCCAAAAAAGGGCAAATGGAAGTTCCTCCCTCTCCAATCCACCCTAAAAAATTCCCACGGAAAGCTGGGATGGACCCAGACCCACGGGATTGTCCCCATGGGAGACACGGAGCCATGGCAGAGGTGGTGACATCATGGAATAGATCTCAAATGAGCCCTGGAATGGCCCCATCGGAGAGGATCCATGGGAGAGCTGGTGACATCATGGCATGATCCCAAATAAACCCCAAAATGTCCCCATTGAGGAGGATCCATGGGAGAGCTGGTGACATCATGGAATGATCCCAAATGAGCTCTGGAATGTCCCCATTGGAGAGGACCCATGGGAGATCTGGTGACATCATGGCATGATCCCAAATAAACCCCAAAATGTCCCCATTGAGGAGGATCCATGGGAGATCTGGCGGTGGCATCACGGAATGATCCCAAATGAGCTCTGGAATGTCCCCATTGAAGAGGATCCATGGGAGATCTGGTGATGACATCACAGAGTTGATCCCAAATGAGCTCTGGAATGTCCCATCGGAACAGATCCATGGGAGATCTGGTGACATCATTGAATGATCCCAAATCAGCCCCGGAATGTCCCCATTGGAGAGGATCCATACAGATCCATGGGAGATCTGGTGACATCATTGAATGATCCCAAATCAGCCCCGGAATGTCCCCATTGGAGAGGATCCATGGAAGATCTGGTGGTGACATCATGGAATTGATCCCAAACAAGCTCTGGAATGTCCCCATCAGAGAAGATCCACAGATGATCTCATGACATCATGGAATGATCCCAAACGAGTTCTGGAATGTCCCCATTGGAGCAGATCCACAGAAGATCTGGTGACATCACAGAACAGATCCCAATCTCTGGAATGTTCCCGGGATGATCCCTGCGTGCCAAAGCCTCCCGAGCTCCGATTTTGGAGGAAATCCATGGAAAAAGGGAGGAGGTTCCTCATCCCACCGCTCAGCAGGGGCTGGAAAAATCCCTCTGGGGCCGAATCCAACCCGGATGGGATCCAGGCCACAGCTCCCTCCACACTCCCAGGACAACACGGCCCTTCCAGGACTTTCCAGGTGCCCCAAATTCCCCAAAAACGAGCCCAAAACTCCGATGGATTCGTCGCTCCCGAAGTTGTCCGGTTCCTCTCCCCGGGAACAGCTGCTCCGCTGCTTTTCCAAGAAAAGAGGCCCAACCTGGGGCCGGCTCCAGGAGAGGCCGGGCCGGCTGCCGGAGGAGCGGCCGCGCCCAGCGGGGCTGGAAAACGTTCCCGGGAAAATTTGGGATGTCCCCAAAGGGGTTTGGAGGCACCTCGGGACCGACCCGACCCAGGTGGAGGAGGAGAAACGTCCCAGGAGGGAGAAATCCAGAGGGAGATCCGCGGATCTGGGAGATTCCACAGGGGGGGAATGACGTCCCAGCCCCGTTCCAGATCCCAGAAAAGTTCCAGGAAAAAGTTTGGAGAAGTTCTGGATGGGGGGGAGGGAAGAAGAGGGGGATGGGGGCCTGAAAATTCCAGGGGAATCCCGGGAATGGGGAGGGATGGGAATTTCGGGAGCTCAGGGATCACATGGGAGCCGTGAGTCAGCGACAGGGAAGGGAAAAACAAACGTCAAAAATCCCTGGAAAGCTGAAAAATCAGAGAAAAAAATCAAAGGCGGCCGAGGTTTGGCACCTGCAGCTCCCGGGGAAAAGGCAGCGGAGACAGAAAAGCTGGAACAGCTCCTGGAAAAGCTCCTGGAAAAATTCCAGCAGCGCCAACGAGGCGGGAAATCCCCAAAACTGAGGAATTGTGTCCCAGAAGTGAGGGGGAGGATTCCCAGGGAATGTTTGCCTTGGCAGCGGCCCCGGCAGCCGGCGCTCGCGGCGCTGCCGGAGCTTTCCGAGGGTCGGGGAGCCCCGGCTGGGACCGGGGAGCCCCGGGGACGCCGGGGAACGCCAGGGAAAGCTTTTCCCACGGGAAAAGGGAGGAACGGGGGGATGAGGGACAGGGTCAGGACTGAGGGGGGATCCTGGGGGCCGGGAAACGCCAGGACGCGATCCCGAACTCCAGGACACAATCCCAAACTCCAGGACATGATCCCAAACTGCAGGACACGATCCCAAACTGCAGGGTGGGATTGTGGGATCCAGGACACGATCCCAAACTCCAGGACGCGATCCCGAACTCCATGACACGATCCCAAACTCCAGGACACGATCCCAAACTGCAGGACGTGATCCCAATCGCAAACTGCAGGATGGGATCCTGGGATCCAGGATGTGATCCCAAACTCGAGGACACGATCCCAAACTCCAGCACATGATCCCAAACTTCCGTAAAATGATCCCAAACTCCAGGAGGTGATCCCGAACTCCAGGACATGATCCTAAACTCTG